CAAAACTTGGTCTTCTGCTTTTACAAATTCTTGGTTATTTTGTGACTTCTGAACATTTACTTTTTTCTCCCTAGATGTCCTTGTCTGGAGCAATGAGAGAATGATTCATTGGGTGGTATCAATTGGTCTGAAAGAATATGCAAATAACCTTATAGAAAGTGGAATTCATGGCGCACTTGTGGCCATAGATGAAACTTTTGATCACAATGCATTAGCTCTTTCATTACAAATACCCACTCAGAATACACAGGTAATGCTAAATCAATTGAGGTTGGGTGTTCTTCTTGTAGACATAGTTAGATTCTTTTGGTGTCCAGAATTTCCATATCTCAGGGAAACCTTTCACATTTTCTAAAATATCATTTGTTCTGATGCATCTATTTAGATTAACTTTCCTCCATAAAATTTAATGTTTAAAATGCACAGTGGCTAACTTTTATCCGAGTGTATCTTCTTGGCTACAGAAAGCTTCCAAAAACTGGGTTGGATACCAGGGATCACAAACCGCAGTCTGCTCACAGAACAGGTCTTTCACGCCTCCCTCCCTCCCTCCCTCCCTCCACTACAGCCTGCGGGAGGCAGGCTGTGGCCCCTTTGGGAACAGTGCAGGATCTGCAGTAGGAATGGGCATGAACCAAATTATGAACGGACATTCATCACGAACTGGGCTTGGTTCGTGTTTCATGAGCCTCAGTTCATGCCCATCCCTAGTCTGCAGAGGGAGGGTGGTTGGTGAAAAAAATCAATAATTTTGCCTTTGTGAGACTAGAAGTGCCTTCACTTGCACATCATTGGTTAAGCTTGTCATAGGTAAATTTTGTATGAAATCCTTTTTTGAAGCTCTATCTAAATTTTCAGAGAAGCAAGCAGATAAAAGTGGATAGTGCTGTAGTATTTTTATACAGCCTAAATGTATGGCCATGTTAAAACTTGATTGATAACTATAAAACTTTCAAATGGTATCCCAGATATTTTGCCTTTTGTTGATTGATTCTTTTTTTTTCCATTTAGGCTCGTTCTGTGTTAGAAAGGGAATTCAACAACCTTCTTGTTATGGGCACGGACAGAAGGTTTGATGAAGTGAGTTTTATTTTTGTTTGTTTTCGTGAGATTGAGCTACAGTTCTCCCCAACCATTAGAAGCTATTTGCATAGGTCATAATATCTTAAAGCATATCTTGGCTTTGATTACACCAAGCTTTTAAAAGTGGACAGTATATAACACATTCCCTTCCCACATATGCAGTGCAGAAAGATTCAGCAGCGGACTTGCCATGCAACTCATCTCGTCATTGTTCTGCTATATCAAAGCACATACAATTTAAAAAGTGTCCTTTTTGCAGACATGATTGACTCGCTGAGATCAAAGGTATCAAAGATATTTGTATCTGTTCCTTTAATGTTTTCTGTATCTTAATTTGTAAGGAAGAATTCAGCATAACTAGATTCTCAACAATGTGAATGGAACATTTCTGTTTCTCTGAGAATCTTCCATTACTTAACCTTTTTTCCGTATATACTGGTTATAATTCTCTTTATGATTGAACATTTGCATTTTCAAACTGCTTTTTATTCTTGAAATTTAAAGTATGACCCTGCATTATCCATGCCACATCAGCCAGAGATCTTGGAAGTTGTAAAGTGGTCTTATTTTGTCCCCTGGTTGGGGTAAGAGAGAACAAGGATTACAGTAACACCGCCACATTATTCTTGAAATTAACTTCCCTCTTTGGAAGCCTGCATCTGCATATCAGTGGGTGCTGGCTACACGGGGTTGTTGTTGTTTTTTAATTTATTTCTCAAATTTATATTTTTTTATTTCTCAAATTTATACCCCGCCCTCCCAGCCAAGGCCGGCTCAGGGCGGCTTACATAACATCAGCATATTTACAATAACACAATTTAAAACATTTAAAACAATGCTAAAACAAGTTAACAATGCCGTAAGTGCTAGTATTGTTGCTGAATCACGGCGGGGACCATATTAGTTCTTTCTACTCATAACCGGCTCCTAGGTCTACTCCAGGTGTCTTACAGGTGGCTGGCACAGGCTGATTTTATGGATTCCAGAGGCAACAGGGCTTCCTATCCTACAACTACAAGTTGTTAATGATGTTCAGTGGTGGCGGCGGCTCCAAAAGCCTGGCGGGAGAGCTCCATTTTACAGGCCCTGTGGAACTGCCAAGTGGTTCCGCAGGGCCCTGATCTCTTCTGGGAGCTCATTCCACCAGAGTGGAGCTGCCACTGAGAATGCCCTGGCCCTGGTTGTTGACAGTCTGGCCTCCTTAAGACTCAGGGGAGGGGGGGGCGATTGGTTCTGGGCCCCTGAACACAGTGCTCTCTGGGGAATATGTGGGGAAAGGTGGTCCCTCAGATACATAGGCCCTTGACCATAAAGGGCTTTAAAGGTAAGAACCAGCACCTTGAAACGAATTTGGTATGCTATTGGCAGCCAGTGCAGTGTCTTTAGCACAGGCTGGATGTGCTCCCGAATTGGGAGTCTCATAAACAGCCTGGCCGCAGCATTTTGCACCAGCTGCAGCTTCCGGATTTGAGACAAGGGCAGCCCCATGTAGAGAGCATTACAGTAGTCCAATCTCGAAGTGACCATTGCATGGATCACTGTTGCCAAGTCGTTTCTTTTATGCACAGAAATCAGGGCCTTGAATTCTTGGCACTTCAAAGCACTGTTAAGAGTCATGGTCCTTTACTCACGTTCCAGCTCAGGATATTGTGGTGCTATACTTGTTGAATGGTTGCTAAAAGTCCTGATTGGATCTCAAGACAGGCTAGCAAAAGCACTGCTGACTTCCAGAATGACTGGTACTCCATTTGTTTCAAGCAGCTTTTAAGTTATGAGAGTAAAGAAGCTTAATCCTTTGTTAGGAAGTTGATTTTCTTTGAGGAAGGGGAGTGTGAGACCAGGTTTTTAAAAGATCTTATGCACAATGATGGGCAAATCATCAGTTGAATGGCTGATAGCATGAAACCTGTATAATGTGTAAAAAAATCTGTACTTACTGTGGTGCTCAGACCCCTCTTGGATATTCCTCTGCTGTTGTATATTATATCTTACAATGCGTTGTTAAGATTTAGAAGTATGTATTGAATTGTTGTGCTTGTTAATTTGGCAGGAAGATGATAAAAGCTTTAGACGGGCACCTTCATGGAGAAAGAAGTTTAGACCAAAGGATGTAAAAGGTTTAGCTGCTGGATCAGCAGAGACTCTCCCCGCAAACTTCAGAGTTACCTCCTCAATGTCTTCACCTTCTATGCAGCCAAAGAAAATGCAAATTGATGGTAAAATATTACTTAATTTCTTAAAAGCATGATGGTTTTGGATGCCTGTGATTATAAATAAACTAGCTAAAGCATCTGCCTTCCTTGTGTTATCAGAGAACTTCTTCTGTGCATGACTTATAATAATACCTTGGTCTGTCTTTGTTGGAGGAGGTCTTTCTCTGCTGTAGGAAGACTTGGTAGAAGGCAGTCACAGGAATCCAATCCGTGATATTTATGTACGGTACCAATCCAGAAAGGACTGCTGCTGTACATAATCCATTTTCAGTGGAATTTATATGGGAAACTCCTCTAGGTAGCAGTAACTGGTAGAGCCTGTCTGCTCTTTGGCTATGCAGATCTTACTTACTGCTTCACACCCCCTGACTCCTTTATCCTTCTATCCTCTTCAGATCTCTGCTGCCCTCCTTTCTCTTCTCTGTGCCTCACGGCTCCATCCCCTGTGTTTTTAAAATGCTGTCATATCTTGTCTCTAACAAACCTCCACTTTAAATTTTCCCTCTCCTTCTGGCTGCAATCATATCATCCTTCATTCATGTACAACTTGCTAAACACTTACTTATACCTACCGGCTTTACAACTTATACTCCAGCTCTCTGCTTGATCACCTACAATGATGTGTCGTTAGTCTGTCCACATTGACAGACTTCTGCCAAAACCTCTGCTTCTGCCAAAGCTACTTGCCAGTTCCCATATTTGTCCATTAAAATATCCTCTTACTTCTCTCTGGATTTTGTTCAGATCTTTGTTCCTTATGGGACATAGGCAGCAACTGGCTCAGCATTTACTTGCACAGTGGTAAGAGACCCCCCCGCCCCCAAGTAAGAAAGGGCTACATGAGCTCAAGATTCCAAGGGCCCAAATGAGTGCGCCTCTGGAGATGAAGTTGTTGTTCTTGTATAGGGATTTTTTGGCCTACTGAGAATGGAAATCTCATGCTGCTATATGTCATGGGGGAGGTGTGTCTTCTTGCGGGTTCACCATCTTCTCAAAAGTGAGAGTGTGTGAGCTTAGTCACTATAAAGCCACTTATTTGAGTTCTGTGTGGCTAACTTTGATGTGTGTACTGACTTGATTCTAACTAAATGCATGCTCTATTCTGCATGTCTTCCTGATTGTTGACATAGGCAATGTATCAGCAACACAAAGACTGGATTCTGCTACAGTAAGGACTTATTCATGTTAAAGCCTTTCACTGGTAAGTAAGAGCAACAGCCTTGTAGGATTCACTGGCACCAAAGTTTTAAGGTGCCTATCTTCACACCCATAAAAAGTAGAAACTTACTTTTTTTTAGGAAAAAGGGCCATCTTACTGAATTTGCCTCTACAGCTATTTTCACTTCCGCAGACTACATTACAGCAAACCTAGGAATTGTACTTGAATGGAACACCAGCAGTTGAATCTCTTTTGTATCAGGAATGATGGTTGTACAAAAGCAGATTGTAGGGAGACGCTCTGCAATCAGTTTTTTGTATTTGATGCAGAGACTTTGAGGGCCCAGATGGGAAGACTTGACACATCCCAGTAGCATATCAGTACTGTAAAACCCACAAGCAAACTCTTTCAAATTTGCCATAACTTGTTAGGTAGACTGGGAAAAGGGAATCTGGACTATTGGCTGCCCCCCCCACCCCCGCCTACCAGTAGGTTCTGTGACAGGTTGTTGGTGGTCAGACTTGGTTTGAAGCTTAGACTGAATGTGGCAGAATGCACTCACCTCTCTGCCTTGCTTGTAGTTTTATGGGTAGAAATCTGGTGTGAACATAAAGAGAAGCCAATGTTGGATCAGGCCAGTGGCCCATCCAGTCCAACCAGGTGCCATCAGGAGGTCCACCAGTGGGGCCAGGACACTAGAAGCCCTCCCACTGTTGCCCCCCCCCCAAGCACCAAGAATGCATAGCATCACTTGTCCCAGACCGAGAATTCCTATCTATACCTTGTGGCTAATAGCCACTGATGGTCCTCTGCTCCATATGTTTGTCCAGTTCCCTCTTGAAGCCATCCATGTTTGTAGCCACCGCCACCTCCTGTGGCAGTGAATTCCATGTGTTAATCACTGGGTGAAGAAGTACTTTATCCATTCCAACCCGACTGCTCAGCAATTTCATTGAGTACCCACGAGTTTGGTGTGGCTTAGTTATGAAGTAATAATTTTCTTTTCCTTTTCAGTTTATCCTCACTATTTCTACAGATGAGCTGAAACGTTTTGAACTCCTCAAAGACCATATTTTGGAAACATGAAATCTTTAATCTGTTTAATAATTGTTAAATCAACACTTTGAAATATTTTATTACAGAGTTTTTAATTAGCAGATGAATTTGTGAGTTCTATAGAAAAAATATTTTAGAATTAAATGTTTCCTTATATTTATGTAAGCATATGTGAGTCTCATAATTACTTAACTTTGTTAGCATTCAGTCTATAAATCAAATGATTGCTGATTTGTTAATTTTAGTCTTTTCAACCTGAATGTACTGTAATTCTTGTATGTATATGTCCCTATAAGAAGTATAGGGTTTTTGTAAATTATGCAGCTATTGTAATTATCAATAATGGTTTTTAATAATAAACGTGAAAGTGAAAAGGATTTTACTATCTTTGTAAAGGTATCATGGCACCAAGCAGTATATATATTTTGCCACTTGGAAAATGCTAGCTAGCTAGCTCTAAAATTTCCTTTTTTTCATGATAATGTGTTTGTTACAATAGGCATGGTACCCAATTCTATTTCTGTTCATATACTGTATCTTTTACATATAGCATACAGTTTTAGTGTGGATTTATTTAAGTCTTTTCTTCAATGTAGCTTGCTTTTCATAAAGTTCTAAAATGTGGAAATCATTAGGAACTATGGAACACAGATTAGCCCCGGTGAGCTCCTTTGTAACTGCTTTTCTCTGCTGTATTTGTACAGTCTGTGTTCATTGACTGAGCATAAGCCATAAATGAAAATATTTTCTATTATCCAAGAATAGCTCGTAATAAGAAGTGCTCTCCTGTATTTTGGTGTGAAAATGTTTGCCGAAAGATACTGATGCAATTCTTCTAAGCGGACCAATCACGATGCACTGCAGTTTCATGACAGAGATGCTGATAGGCACAATATGTCTGAAGCATGAAGCAGTGCGACTTTTAAAAGGCCTTACTTTTATGTCATCTTTTGCATATATTTATACATTTGTTTTAAATTCTGGACACACTTTAGCTGTTAATACTTTTAGCTACATCAGTCAATATAAGTAGAAAATGCATCATTCTTTTTTAAATAGCACATTAAGTAGCCAGCAAGGAATAAGTTCAGATCGTGGTGCATTATTTATTTGCAATAATATATACAGCATGTGTCTCTTGGTTTTGTTTTTGGCTCTTTTTAATTGTACAACTGAAATTTGTGTTACTGTTCTGTTTTTTTCTATTAACCTTTTATGTGTATTTCTGATTATGTAACAAATTATGTACAGTCTAAATACTTTTGAGCTATTTTTACCACAGTATTATTTATTGCTTTCTTTCAATAAAGTACTGAAGCATTTTCCCACTGCCAGTAAAGTGTGGTTTATCTTGTAATAAGCCTTAAATGCTTTTAACAGTTGAGATTTCAGTAATTAATGCATTGCCATAAATTTCTTATGAAATACCTATTCCTGGTTTCTTTGTTTTAAGCCAAGTGAATTTTCAAGAAACACAATCGGCTGTCTGCATTAATTTAAAATGTTGCCCTTGTGATTGCACATAATTGATTTCAAAAACCCTATTTACATCCTAAAGATAAAATATGGCAAAAGCAGGAACATTCCATTTGGAGCATGTCTCCTAAATTCCGAGCCTATCTGAAAATCAAATGGCTCAAGACTTTCAACAGCCTTTGGTTAGCAATCACTAGTGGAAGAGTAGTGAAGAATAAGCAAGATATCAAGGGAGGGGAATTATTCAAGTTCATGATACTTCTATGCCATAAAGTTCATGTTACTTTACTTCTATGCACACTTAATTTGCAATAACAGTTCCTTTACTTTCAGGTGAGTAGCCATGTTGGTCTGAAGCAGCAGAAGAAAGTTTGAGTCCAGTGGCACCTTTAAGACGAACAAAGTTTTATTCAAAGTGTAAGCTTTAATGCGCAAAGCACACTTCTTCAGACAAATAGTTACATGTTTTCCAGAGATGAAAAAGAAAACAAAATGTGGTAAAGCAGGGAACACATTGATTAAAATTAGGATGTTATGTCTCAAGTGCTACCAGTTTTATGACACTTTAAACTGTAAGGTGTGAAAAAGACTGGCTCCTGGCCCCAAACATGTCAACAGTTTAAATTTCCAGGGGCTAGGGGGGAAAGAAAACAAAGGGAAAGGAAAGGAAAATTCACCGAGAATGAATGCAAGAAAAATTAGTTACACATACTATACCTTAACTTTAGGTGGGTTTGAAGTTCGTTGGAAGTGGGTAAAATGAAATTCACAGATTATTTCAGCTAGTGTTACAGTCTCAAATGATTTTAAATATTGTGGGGGGGTGTTATTATTGAGCCAAACAGGAAAGAGACTGTTTGATGGGCCCAGTATGGTGTAGTGATTGTTGGACTAGGGTTTGGGAGACCCAGATTTGAATCCCCACTGTGCGATGGAAGCTTGCTAGATGACCTTTGGCCAGTCAACAACACCCTCTCAGTCTAATCTACCTTACAGGACTGTTGTGAGAATAAAATGGAGGAGAGGAGAACTATATAAGCCACTTTGATTCCCACTGGGATGAAAGGCAGGGCATAAACAAAGAGTTCTGGATGGAAACTTGGAAGACTGTCTCTCCACAGTTATCGGTATGCTTCCTAAAATCTTAATGGTAACTGTCCAGATGAATGTGGAGTGGTATATCTGATGCAGTGGTACACTAGATGGACATTTTAGTAGCTATGTATCAGAAATCTTAGTACACGTCTTGCATAAAGTGAGAGACTGTTCATATCATTTCCGTGCACACTTTCTATGACCTCTTGATGCTTGTTCAAAAACCACATATATCTTATATTTTTAAAACATGCAGCTCTGCTACATTTTTGTTTTAACAAACAGTTTAAATAAAGGCCTGGATTTCTTAGATCGCTGTCGCACTGTTTCCAACAACTGTTTGAAGATGGAAAGCATGTAATTAAAGCCCATGGAATGAACAGCATTACTATTTCAAATGCCTTGTATTTCTGTGGAACCTATTATGCTGCCAAATAAGAGGGCTTTAGCAATTGCTAGTTTGTGTTCAAAAGGGACAGAAGCAGCATTGGTAAGGGGCTGGATCCTATCATTGTATGGGCAGAAGGAGTTCACGCCAGAGGATTTTGTCAGCCTCTCCCAGTAGCTCCCTCCCTAATATGGCCCCCAAATCCTCTGAGAGACAAAAGGGCCTCATAAACATAAGGGTTTGGCTCTAGACTAAATTGGCAGTTTCTGCCGATTCCCCTTTCCTGCTGCAGACACCACTCATCATGTTCCTCAGTTTCCCCGATCCCAAAGGAGCAGTATTTTGTGGAGATCAGTGGGCTGCAGTGGGAAAGGAAAAGGCAAGAAAGTTCCATTATGCAACTGGAAAATTTAGTGTGTAGTGAGGAGAAGGGTTGGGCAATGCCACCATCTCTAGCTCTCGAGCAAGCCTTGGAAGTGAGCTTGCTCTCCTGGCAAAGGGGCAGCGGATGGCAAACGTCTCTCTTTCCTTTTGTTTATTACAGCCCACTGTCCAGCACATTCCAATAAGGAGAATCCTTCAACTTTCAACAGAGGGTCTGGGGTATTATGTGGCTGCTGAGAAAAGGGGGGAATGGAGAAGATCCTCTTGTGTGAGCTTCCTTTGCTTAAATCATAAGATCCAAACCAATTTTTAAAATATAGTCGATTGATACTTACATTGTGTCAGCTACATTAATTCTATAGGTTGCTTTTCTGTCAAGTATTAACACTACAAACGCGTTAAACTTGGGCCTGGCTCCCACCGCGTGATGTGGCAGACCACTGAGATGGCAAAATGAACTGCGCCATTTCAGAATGCAGGTGGTAGAGTCTGTGTTTGCCTAAAAACTCCTTGCCAATAAAAAAAAACTAGGAGGGAGAAATGTTCGGTCACACACACCCCTTTGCTTGCAGTGTTCTTTTTCATTTGCAAGGAGTTTTGAACATCGAGCAGTTCAAAATTTGATCTGTCGTGATCCTTTCTCTGCAGGCAAGACGACGTCTTTTATCACCTCATGTCTGTGCCACTGCATTCTCCTGCACAGGTAAACCAGGCCTTAGGTTGAGCAGCCTTACACAGTTAACAATGCCAGGTAATACATATTTAAAAACCCTAAACAATATGGGACCGTCATATCTGTGGGACTGCCTCTTCCCATATGCCCCTCAGACAGCATTACGCTCAACTGATACCAACTTGCTGGTAATCCCTCGTCTTTTTGGCCATGGCCTGGTGGAACTCTTCCCTGTGAGGTCTGAGCTTGGTGGGACTTTGGTTGAGAACAGCGACAGTTAGAGAGAATAGTGGCCTCCCAGGTCCACCCCCCCTTTATTCTTTTATGTTTAAGATCCTCCCTATGGGTAGAATATGGACTATATAACAGCCACCTCAGCTGTCTGAGGAATAGATACGTTAACCACCCAGCCATCTGTTGAGCAGATAGGTGGCACCACCCAAAAGTAGATTAAATTGCTGAACAGCACTAGATTTTAACTAGGCTAGATGGTCTGTATGGCCCCTCCCAACTCTATGATTCTATATTCCATTATGTATTGATATATATTATATGTTGTACGCCACCCTGAGTCCTGCTTGCAGGAAATGGAGTGGGATAAAATGCTTCTGGAAGCACTGGCACCCCAATCTTCTTTCACAGAGAGAAGCCATACGTAACATATGGAATGGAATGGAAGCGCTCATTTGTCTTTTATAATCAGGCACTGCTAAAATGCCTTCTTGTGTGAGAAATGTGATTGCCGCCGCCACTTAATACAAGTGCTTAGACTCTCAAGAGGCATAGTAGTTTGTCTCATACAAAGTCAAGCTGTAATTCTCAAGCCCATTTCAGCAACAATGCTATACAGGCTATTTCCACACTGAGATTTTTTTTTACCAGGTGGCACACAGCGTGCTTCCACTTTACTAAAGCAATTTTATTTCATGGGGCATAATAACACACCTGTTGGACTGTAGCATTTGTTGTATTTGTTGTAAGTGCCATTGAATACAG